CGACGCGGTGGTTCTCTACACGACGTCGTTGGGGGGCGTCAGGAAGACCTTCGAGGAGTGCAACAGGGCGCGCGACGTGCTGGAGGCGCACAGGGTGGTCTTCGACGAGCGCGACGTCTCGCTCCACGGTGGCTTCCTGAGGGAGGTGAAGGAGCTGGTGGGGGAGGCGGTGGCGGTGGCGCTGCCGCGGGTGTTCGTGAAGGGGAGGTACGTGGGGGGCCTGGAAGAGCTGGTGGAGCTCAACGAGACGGGTCGCCTCCGGAGGATTTTGAACGCCACACGTGTGGAGAGGGGGGTTGGGAGGCAAGCGTGCGGGGGCTGCGGTGGGGCCAGGTTTGTTCCTTGTTTGGAGTGTGGTGGCAGTTGTAAGGTTGCGGTGGATGGGGTAAGGGCTCATAAAGAGAGGTGTCCTAACTGCAATGAGAATGGCTTGGTGCACTGTCCTGCTTGCATTTCTCTTCCACTTTAATTCTCTCTCTCTCTCTCTCTCTCATATCATACATACATATTTCACCTCTACTCTCCATTCCATTTACATGCTTATGTCTCATCCATCCAATCAATACTACTCTCTTGCTAATTAGTATAAATATATAATCATACACATTACTTTTTTTCTTACTTAATAAGCTATCTGAACACCAGCAGTCATATATACTCCCAAAATTTTAGAGGCTAAACAATGCTTTAGTCACAAAACACGGTAGTGTGAAAAGATTCATATGATCAACTAACTAAACTTGTGTAAATTATCTTTTTAAGTTGGAGGGTACAATTTCAAAATTATTTGATTTCAAAGATTTTTGATGCTCATAGAAAATAGCAAAGATATTGTGAATGGTAATCGAACATTAGCCACGTACTTAAATGAGGCATTCAATTTATATTTCCAAAACCTTGAGTTACATTTTTATACTTATTAAAATATCATAATAAAATTTAACATTTTATATTTTTATATTAATTTATCATGTTTAAAATATAAAATTTTATCTTATAGTAAAGATTTATGTTTTATTGTTAATTTTAATTTAATATTATGTGTTACATCATACTTTTTTTTTTTTAACTCAATGTGTTACATTATACTTATGATCGTATGTTATGAAAATTGGAATGTAAAAAAATAAATTAATTAATTATATTACACCAACTCTTACAGGTTTTTCTTCTAAAAGAGAAGTTATATTCATTTTCCATTTAGTTTAATGTTAACCTGGGTTGAATAGCTTTAATTATATATATAAAGTACTAGTCCGTTTGGGTTAGTGATTTCACAGGGAAAGAAATCGAGTGGACAGTTAGGTTGTTCTGTTAGGTGAGATTTTTTTTCCAGAAAAAACAAAATCATTTTAAGGGCCCAACCGGGTTCGAACCGGTGACCTCTTGATCTGCAGTCAAATGCTCTACCACTGAGCTATGGACCCAATGCATGTCTGGATGGCCTCAAAGAAACTTATTAATGATAGATACACAAAAGGACTGAATTCTAAATTCAAGGGCACATATTATTTTGGTCCTTACTAAATTCCCTATCATAACGGTATATAACAAGCGCTATTCGATTTCCAAGGATTTAAAAAAATATATGGCAAAGGCTCACTGATTAGTGGCATGCTTTTCCTTCTTTTTTTTCAATTCAGTATTTTCTAGTTCAGTTTTAGATTGCAGGCAGGAAATGAAAATATCAATTTAGTGTCTCATATTTCGTTAAACAACCTAAATATGTGGTGACTTTTGTCTGTTTGTTTGTTTTTTTACTTATATTATGTTACATTTTGTTTTCTATTTTTAATTCAAGGGCACATATAGATTTTATCATTAAAATTATTTATTATCATTTAAAATATGTGTGTTGAGTTATTATTATTTTATGAATTATAAAATTATAACTTTTACTATTTTGTCTACATCGCAAATAATATAATGATAGTTTATTTCAATTCGAATAATGTAGTGATAATTTTATTCTTTTTCATTCTATCATTTTCCATTTCATTTTATTTAATTTTTTTATTCAATTGGCGTGTTGATTCACTTTTTAATTTATTCGCATAATTAAATCATACAATTTTATTAATTTATTCTAAACAATTATTAAACTAACTTACATTATAAATTTTAAAAATATGTAATAAAAATATTTATTAATTAAGTTAATTATAAATTAGTTTTTATTTAAGGTAGAAACTGCCCATGTCGCGTGTAGTTGGACCAAAAAGGGTCAACATATATTTATTTAATTTAACGGGCCGATCCACATTTTATATTACATTATAAAAGTTAGGCCGATGAATGTATACACCTCCCTTTTTTTAATAAGTATACCTTTTTTTTAAAAAAAATTATAAAATATTATAAGTTTTTTTAGAAAAATTTAATTTTACACTTTCACAAACTTTCAATTTGCTGCTTTCTTCTTTTTATTCACACACTTTTTTCTTTCTTTCAATTTTCACATGTTACCAAAATAGATAGGGTGAAGAAAAAATAAGGAGGTGCATGTAAAAATTAAAAAAATGAGGAAAATGGTGTAAAAAAAAGTACTAAATTAAATATTGTGGATATAAAATTAAAAAATTTAAAACAAAAAATTAAAAATATTTTAAAATTTGAATTATTTTTTTTAAAAGGAGGTGTACTTATAGAAAAAAGAAGGTGTATATATCATGAACCTAAAAGTTAAACAATTGGGCCCATTTCACTTTATCTTTTTAACACAAGTGAAGATGTCAAATAGGGATTCATTTTGGAGATTTATCTTTTTCTCTTTTTATTTGAACTTTTTATTGGACCGTTTATTTGAATATGAACTCAAGCTAATTAAATTTTTTTAAACATGTCAAATATTAATTCGATGTGTTGATATAATCTATTAACTTTATTAATATGTGTAAATAAATTGTAAAAGTTAAAAAATATATAATTATAAATTAAGGTTATTTTATAATACATTTTAAAATAAATGATATCAATATAAATATAATACTATCTTATAAAAGATATTATTGATTAACTCGATTATTTATTATAAATACAAAACCATTTTAAAAATTATACTTTTTAAAACCATATAAGATATTAGACCGGGTTAAGACAATTGAAAATAAAATCCAAGTTTATCCTCCAAATACACTGTGTTTAAATTTCTAAAATATGAATGTACCAAAATTAGACAAAACAAGTCAAAAACACTCCTAAAGTCCTAATGTTATTTAATTATACAATTTAATTAAAGCTCTAAAATTTGAATTAAAAACTCTTTAATTAGATTAGATTACGTCTTAAATCTAATTTTAGAAACTAATTTAATCCAATTCAAATTCAACTTAAGTGTTTTTAAAAACTTACATGACTGACATGTTGTATGTTTGAATATTTATGATATTCAAATTCGTAATAAGTTAATATGTATTATTTTTTACTATATATATAGAAAGAGAGGGAGAGACAAAGTTCTTTTTTTTATTATTACAGATTGTCTATTGAAAAGACATTGAAATGAATTAATATCATTAACTTACAAGAGAAATGAATACATAACTTTGATTACAAAGGAGTTGGGAAATCATGCACTATAAACAAAGAGTTTTTTTTTTTTTTTAATTTATAATTAAGGTTTGTCGATTGAATAAAGATTGAAAGGAGTTATTGTCATTAACTTGCGTAGGTTAATGAAAAGTATTATTTTAACAACATATATCTTTTATATTGATTTGTCATTTGTCAACATTATTTCTTATTTGAGCAAGAGAAATAAATTGAAGAACTACTTCACTTTATTTATTTATTTATATATATATATAATACATTTATATGTTGACATGAAAATATAAATGATAACTTTTGATTTGAGGGCAAGTTGGTTGATCATGGGTGCATGCATGTATGTACCATGGGATGGCAGGATGGATAATATAAAGTTATTGAACAATTTAATAGTTGGTAAAAGTTATACCAATGTCGTTTGAACTTTTCTCATATATATATATATATATATATATATATATATATATATATGTTTATATATATATGATATTCAAATGCGAACTAGTTCATACATTAAAATAAGTTATGATTTATGTTGTTTTACGCACTTTCTTTACGACAAATGTTTATAACTTTTTTCCTTTTTCTTTTTATCTCTCAATATTACACTTATTTCATTTGAAATTTTTTTCTCTTAGTGTTTTTTTTTTTAAATTGTGGAAATTTATTTACCATATATTAGAATCATGTTCTAACTAGATACTTGTTGATAGGTCATAGGTGGAGCAATTTTTTTCACTTATTTTCTTTTTTCATTAGTAGTTGATTCTTATCTAAATTAATACCCATATAAAGGTTAGTATAGATTCAATTTCTTCTCTTTAGAGAGAGGCATACAAGAGAAGTTGCTCACTTACTTTTTCAATATAATAATAGACATAAACTATATGGATAGATTTAATATTATTTTTACAAGTTATTTAGTATATAAAAGATGAAAGTACGTACGTTATCAACACACAAAAAAAAAAAAAAAAGGAAGTGGCCGTTGTATACATTGAAAGTATTATTTTTACACACCCTGTTTGCAACATATTTTATATCTAAACATTACACTCATCGCATTTAACATTTTATTCTCTTGTTGTTGTGGTTGTTTATTTTGAAGTTATAAAAAATAGGCTAAAAATCTAATTTGGTCCCTTATAATAATTTTTTATCTTGAAATATATCAACCAAAACTTAATCATACTAAATATTAATCATATTAAATAAATAATATTTAATTAAAATTATTAAATAATATAAACAACATATGTAATTAAAATTCTATAGAATAATTATATATAATAAA